TTGTTTACTTCAAATCGTAAAAATAAGTAAAATTTTGAACCAGTCGTAATATGCTTTATTCCGGAGTTGTAACAAAAAAAAATTTGGATATGAAGTACAAATTCCTTTACTGTTGTTATGATTCCTATTTCATTTCTGTTGTAATGATGTACTTAGAATCGCAAAGCAATTTATTGGCAACAAGGAAATAAAAATGCAATCAGTTCTTTAAGTCAATGAATCCCCTGGATTTCTATGTCCACGCATTTATCGAACATTTTGCGAATGATTGTTTCGCTGCCAGTCCCGGCTGCGCAGAGATTTGCGAATACGTATGAATACTTCAGTGCATATGGATTCTGCAATAATTCATTTAGAATGATAATATTTAGGAAACTTGTGCATTTTAAAGTGAAGTATTTTTCAGCTTATTTCCTTTTTTTTTAGAAACCACAGCTCAAAGTACTGTTAAAGCAAAAAACGAATTACTTCTGGTCCATTGGAAAGGGGCTGGTAAAAATAACTAGAAAATTGATTTATTTTTCCACGATTAATAGCAAACGGTTGCAAATATTGGTTAAAAACAAAAAAGAGACCGAAAAAGTCAGCAGCACACTCCCACTTTTTTTGGCTTAATTAATAATAAATTTTGCGGTTTTTGGCCATCAGGCCAAAGTCGAAAGTTTTAAAGGAATCTGAGAACTAATTTTTTAGGCCTCTGTGTTCCTTGATCGTTGATCTCTTGTTTAAATTTGAGCTAAAAAGAGTACACTTGTGTGATTATTAGATTTCTGTGCATATGCAAATATTTTTGTTTTGCTACGATTCAGCTTCAAAACTACTTAAACAGGAATGTTTAAATTTATGAGCACCATTATCTGCTAAGTAAGAAATTAAACACATAAAACCAATTTTCACTTTTTCCTAGGTCCTAACACAAGGATTGCCCAGCACTAGCCTCACGGCTTACGTAGGGTAAAAGCATCCGCGCAAACGAATCAAATACGCATGCAAGCACATACTGCCTTCATATCATAATTTTTAATGCAAAAAAAGTGTAAGAAATGTAATTTACATGTCCAAAATGGAAGCACGATCGATGGAATGCTTTGATGACATCGTCGAAGCAATGTAGCGATGACACCGAACTAGGCATTGTATGCATAATTTCATATTGTGACTTCTGAGGTGCAATTGCCCATACCAGAGATTCCATAAATGCTTCTAGGTATTCTCGCTTCTGAAAGAATATAAAAAGTTTCCATGAGAGATCAGTCATAAATAAGCACTAGCGCATGCAAAGAATAAGAGGTGTGATTAAAATCGAAGAGCGATAGGAAAGCGAAATAGATTTTTACTGAGGTTTTCGTGATAACCAAACAGAATAAAAGAAATCATAATTTAAGAGCGTCTTAACTTTTCACTTATTACTGGAGACATGCATGTCTCGACCGACCGATCCAACATCATCACTAGCACGCATTTTTCTGTGATCTTTTTAATCTTAGCATGTATTAGAAAAAAGTTCTGGAACTATTCGATGTTCATTTGAAAAAGTTTAAAAAAGATTTCAAAGGTGCCCACTTTAACTCCACTTTGCGTAAGACACTGTTTCTTCGTACATTCTAACGCGCATTAAAATCAAAATCACCCATGCATAAGTGGGGTCCGTGAGCGATTTTAATCTGGAGTTTTGTTTTTTAATGCTTTGTTAAATTAAAGCTACGCACAGTCATTTTTACGAAAAGACAGTTATAATCATATAAAAGTTTCAAGATCTGGCTTCCAAGTCGGCTAGCCCAGTTAAAAAATCACTTTCAATTTTTTAAAATACCATCGTCATCCCATGGCTGATAATACCGCTCAATCTCCAATGCAAAAAAAAAAGCAACTTTTTCCCGACATGAAAAGACCTTTTGGAGTTTGAGCAAGACCTTGCTGAAAAGGCTCACACAAAATCTCATCCGATGACCAAATCTTCTAGTCTTGTTCTGTTTCGGTAGCAAGAGGCTGTGATGATAAGTAAGCATGCAACTTAAACTGAACGTACCATTTCCAGCTTCTTGATCTTATGCCTCAAAGCTTTCCTTTCGGACTCTTTTTGTGCTTCGTGCAGTTCTTTTTCTAGCATTCGCAAATGAATTTCTCGAGAAGGCCACGCAACAGTTGACCTGCTTTCTTCCGTCCTCTAAATCATCAACTCTTTATCAAGCAGCAATTTTTTTAAAGCTAAAATACCAAAAACAGCCACACAATGAAAACACTTTTCCAAAAATCTTTAGACATACTGAATCGCCGAATAGCTTTTTGAGAGGAAATGTTTTATTGCCTATGTATTCGGCCACATGGTCCTGTGCTATTTTCATGTCGCCGTAATGCATTACATGGCTTCTGTTCGTCTCTTTTTTTACAATCGCAAATTGACGTCCCAGCGTCTCCTTATTCAGATCTTCCTTAAAAGTTTCAACAGTTCAGATTATTTGAAGAATTTTAAGCACTGTTTTCAAATTGCACCATGGCAGTGAATTCAGTAATTTGTGTTTAAAACGCTAATGTAAACTGAAGCACAAAAAAGATGTGTAAGGTCAAATGCTTCAAATTGCCGCGTTAGGATGTAACCCAGGCTGGAACGCACCAGGCGGGCCGGTGCGATCATGCGTTTTTGCACTTTTCGTGCCGTA